AGATATCACACCAGAGCACATGGAGGGGCCAGGCTTGCTCTTCTATAACAACTCTCTCTGGAGGAACTAACCAGTGTCCTGCAAGGATTACTTACACTTTCCTGAGGATGATGACCCCAATGACTCAATCACCTTGTCCTGGGCCCCATCTCTTATAGGTACTGCCACTTAATATCACCACACTGGGAACCAAGCTTCCAACACATGAAATCTTGGGAACAAACTCCTTCCAAACCATTGCACTATCTTTACTTCCTTCTAGAAAATTTCCTATTGACATACAGATTAACTGTTTTTATTATTTGCCATACAACATCATATCTGGCTTTGTAACCAACCACTTCCCTGATGTTCGCATGATACTTTCTATAGAGTCCTATGGGCCGGGGGCGGGGGCGTTTGCTGTGCTTGGAGTTAAAGTAAATAGAGGGGCGATGATTTTGTTGTCTAGGAGTTTCCTAAGGGAAGAATATTTATTTTAATAGTTATCACATCCATAGCATATGACAGCACCAAATACAGTAGCCACTCAATAAATGTTTACTGAACCAAAGATGAGATATTTAGCTTGTGCAAGGACATTGTGCATAGGGCTGATAAGCAGGACTGGATGGTTGAGACATTGGGAGTGGTGTGGAGGTAGATGAGGGCAGCAGGGCTTGAAGAGTGGGCTGGGTGGGATCAGAGTGTGAAAGGTCTTCTGTGCCTTAACTAGGACTTGAAATTAGCCACTGCACATTTTAAATAGGGAGGTGACCTGTTCGGATCTCTTTAAAAAAAAATAATCTCTGGAAACAGTGAAGACAATGAATGGAAGAAGTCAAGGGGTGAGAAGAGGCCTAATGACTCTGCTGTAAGAGGCAGATAAGGGTGTGAACTTCAGCTGCTGCAATGGGATAAGAGGAAGCCACCAACAGCCTGGAGAAAATTCAGGTGCAAAGTCAACAGGAATGGTGATTACTGATAATTAAACAAGGAAGTATGAGAACTGGAATTGTTTGGGATGCAGGTGGAGAAAACAGATAATCAGCTTAGTGTCAGACATGCTGGGTGAGGTGAAGTAAGGCTTCTAGGTAACTCAGTTAGGAAGCAAACATTTTAAATATGAAATTAGTGCCAGTTACAGTGGTCTACTAAGCTATGACATTATCAGTTATTTAATTATGAAGCTGCATCCTGTGCCACTGATAATTAGGACAAGGATCATTTTACTATTTTTTACATCACCCAGGCAAAAAACATGACCAAGCCTGTAAGAAACTGTTTGATAATTGTTACCAAATTTTAACCCTGAATTGTAGATATGTCAAAAAAGCCACGTGCAAAAGTTTGAAAATAACCACTGGAGATATTGGGGTTGGAGATGTTACTCAGCAGTAAGGTACTTGCCTAGCATGCTTAAGGAGGAGTCTGACCTCCACCAAAACCATGACAACAATCTTGTGAAGGTATTAGGTGTTGTATTCAAAACTAATTTTAAAAATACTTGTTAAAGTCAAACTCAACCGTAAAACCCAAGAAAAAATATATGAAAAGGAGAAAATACAGAAATCCAAAAATTTAAATTTTAACAATTGCGAATTAAAGTATTCTTTAAAAAGTATTCTTACAAATTCTTTAATTTTTAAAAAAAATGTGATTTCATTAAAAAACAAAAAGCTGCACAAGAGCATTAGTTAAATTTTTTGTATGCTCATGGGTATCTAACCTATAGAAGGATAAGGAATCCGGCTTTGGAATTCAGATACTAAATATAATTGGAATGGATAATGAACTAGAAATCTTGCAGTAAGAACAGACTAGCCAGGCACATGCCGATAATCTCAGCCACTAGGGAGGTTAAGGCCAGAGGATTACAAGACTGGGAAAAAATGAAATAAGGGCTAAGGATGTAGCTCAGTGGTGCAGCACTTGATAGCCTGTGTAAGGCCATGGGATCAATCTCTAGTCAGTCTCTCTCTCTCTCTCTCTCTCTCTCTCTCTCACACACACACACACACACACACACACACACACTATACTGTGTTAAATCAAACATTTTATCAAAAGAAATCTCACCCAGAACCAGGTGTGGTGGCACATGCCTGTAACCCCAGCAGTTCGGGAGGCTGAGGCAGGAGGATCACAAGTTCAAAGCCAGCCTCAGCAAAAGCAAGGTGCTAAGCAACTCAGTGAGACCCTGTCTCTAAATAAAATACAAAATAGGACTGGGGATGTGGCTCAGTGATTTAGTGAACCTGAGTTTAATCCCCAGTCCCACCCCCCTCAAAAAAAGGATATCTCACCCAGAATCAATTTCTTTAAACAAAAAGAGGGATATCTAAAATATTGAAATTGTTCCATGGATATACATGGACAAACCCTCTATACACCATTAAAATAAAATACCAACTAAAATGCCTCTGTGCCATTTTAGGTCAAATCTGAATTTCTCCAGACTGTAGAATACTCTCTTATTATACATAAAAGAAACTGCCTCATGGAAAAGATAAGTTTTGGTAACTGGATATTCTGGAGTATTGAAATGATTCAATTCAGAAGAAATTGTACTCTTCTTTGAAGACTAATAGTTTTTTTTGGCGAGACATTGTATAATCCAATGTGTCAATAGAACATTGTCTTAAAAAACAGAAAGTTCTAAATTATCCTCTTACACAAGGTCAATCTCTGCCATTTCCCAGAGTGGGAAGGACAGAGCAGGCATTTTGCAATGACTTTGGTTCTTATTCTCTTTGAAATATATTAATGTAGCCCATCTATTGTAGTATTGGTTATGAATTTCTTCTATCACATCATCATCAGGACTAAAACCCCTCAAGGATGTACAAATACCATATCACTTTCCTGTTTTATATCAATATTTTAAAAGTAGTGATTGGCTCTATTCTGAGAAATAACTTTGGCTTCCTTCTGTGGAATGGCTATGAAAATTAATTCTACATGTTCCAAAGATATTAACTTTTTTTTCTAAAATATTGCCACTATTAAGTGATATTTCTTCTCTAGTATTTTAAATGGGTGAGATTATACATAACTATCTTATTAGGGTCAATGATAGAATTCAGAAAAAAAATCACAAAAGGTGTGAATATCTATTAAGATATGCTCTATGTTGAATGGTCTTCTATTAAGAAACATAGGAAAATTAAACTGAAAATTTAAAGCATCTTTTCTAACAAATAAACCAAGTGATTACAAAGTTGGGGACGTAGCTCAGTGGCAGAGTGCTTGCTTTGTATGTGCAAGAGACTGGGTTTGATTCCCAGCATCACAAAAATAAAATAAATACATAAACTACTGATCTAACATTTATCTATATTTGGTTGTTTCTCTTAAGTTCATACTGTTTTAGGATGTCTTAATACCTACTAGTTCATTTTGTTAATTCAACATGGAGTCTCATATTAAAGACTCACATATTATTTTCCTATAAACATCAAAGAAAAATCAAGCTCCTTTTCTTTCCAATTAAGATTATATTTAATTCTAAGTTTCAATACATAGGCAGAGTAAAAGGGTAAAATCATATTGATGAATTTTTGAATTTCAGGCATTGATTGAACTTTTGTGCTTATGTCTGGAAAAATGAAATCCTTTAAAAGCAGTTCGTAATCATTGTAAAACCCCAATCGATGTCTGCCTCACATCTGGCAATAATGAAAACAAATTAACAATAAGATTTTGAAAATCTGGCAGTACGATAAAGCCAAGCACACAAAATTATTTCTCTGTTCTTAGTCACTGGTGGTCCAAGAAAGGATCAACTTCCTGTCTTGGACTCTGGCTTCTAAATTAAAGGAGGAAAATCTTAAGGCATTTGGGTTCAGACTTCTGGCTCACAAACAACTAAGGCCTAAACTCACTGAGCAGGAAACCTTTACCTCCAACGTATCCTCAGAGAAAAATCTGCTTTTCCAATCGCTGCTTTCAGTTTAGTTCAAAGAACTGCAAATGGCATAGATTCACCCCTTCAAGTTTAGGAGATTTTAAAGCTTAATATGCTATATTAAGTTCTTTCATGCCAATTTAATTTATCCTGGGAAAGAGGGCTTTCTTCAAACTACACATATGAACAAGGATTTACTTAAAGAAAAAAGTCCAGTTTTGTCACCCAAATTATTGAACTTAATAAGTTTACCTCATTTAATTACTTTAAACTAGGTCACCTAGTTTTGAAAATGTGACTATGCTCATTTTTCTGTGTATAGATAGGTCTGTCATGTAAGATTTTTTACTTAATACTGTAAAACAAATTTTTGTGTGTTTAAGTAACAGATTTGATGTCTAGCTTTTAACCAATGGAGTAGCAATGACCAAATTAGGAAAATATTTTTAATTCTTAAAGAATGTTGCAGAGTAGCTTGGAAGTGCCATTTATATACAAACTGCTCATATAGCAGAAAAAATAATAAGAACAGGAAAGAATTCTATCAGTATCCTATTATGACCTAGAATACAGGATGGAATTTCATCTCTATTATAGCCCTTCAAGCTACTGAGAGGTGCCATAAACTACTCTTGTTACAATCCAAGGATGGTGGATATGAACTATTTGGATAACAGAAGGCATTTTTGTAATTAAGGAGACATGGGTTGAACAGTGATTTAAGTAATGGTGGTTGTTCTGTTTTACACCAGACGACAACAACAGTTCTTTCTTTGTTTGTAGAGCTAAAAATAAATGGATTTTTCTCAAAGCTTTGTAGGTCTGTGTTGTTTACAGTGTGCTTTCAGGGGTACCAATGTGATTTGAACCTGTATTACAACAATCCTGAGAGGCAGGCAGAATGGTCATTTTTGTCTTGTCTTTAATGGGCTGGATATAATTTTCATCAATTTGTGATGCAATAATATGGACTAATTAAGTTTTAAGTGTGTTAAAAACCAGAAAAATTACTATGGTATAAATGGGGCGTGGCATCAAAATGACATGTTTTATTAAATGTAATGTGCAAAATAAAATGAAGTGACCTCTATTCAAAAAAGGTACAAGACAGGAATTATTTAAAAGGCTTTAGTACTCATTTTCAATAAAAAGAATTCTGGCATTATAAAAATACATAAAATAGTTGTGGATTTATACCATTAATTTACATAAGGGTTTTTTTTTTGCATAAAACAAAGTTATAAAATACTTTAAAAGGTATTTTTATATGAAAGTTACTCCCAGTATAAAATTTTTATAACTTTTTGTAATTTTGGTTCATCTGTATAAATAAGGCATTCTGTCCTTTTAAAATTCATAACTCCATTTAAAAACATAGGATTCTTTCTCTTTTAAATAAAAGTCCACTTGAGGTAGTATGTTAAAGCTTTTCTTTGGTCCCATTCAGTCTATGTGTCCAAGTCATAAGACTGAAAATTTGGAGTCCTGTAGTTTTCTAAGGTCTGTTTATAAGTACAAGTGTGATTTTCTTCCTGAAAATCTGTCCTTTCTTTCTCTTCCTCTGACTCACAGTCCAAGTCAGGGGAAGAAGGAGCTTTCAAGCAAAAGGCTCTGGGCTGAAAATCCAATGGCTGTCCAAAGCTTGAAAAGGCATCTAGGTGAGGTCTCCTCAGAGGCTTTCCAAACGTACCTGAAAGAAAAACATCCCTTGAGCTCGCAGGTACTTTACTAGCATGTAAATCAACATGATACACAGCAAATGAAGAAGCATCTTGCTGCATCAACACGAATAAGCTCTGTATACATTCCACATCATGCTACTCAGGAGTTTGTGCATCTGTGCTATGGACAGATATAAGAATACATTAACATATAATGCAGAAGATGACATCAAAACTTCTTCTTATCCACTGAACAAGTGCATCTACTCTTTACCATTTTTCATGGCCTGTAGTAATATTAATTATTGCACAACAAAGTGCCTGAAGTATGCCAACACGCATTCCCCCAAATCCTCCCTTCAGTACTGAAGAGCCCACAATCTCCACACAAGTCACACAGATAGTAATGCATAAGCTAACTGTGCCTGAATATAGAAAGTTTCTTTTAAAATAACCCTGTGCCTTACCCTTTCTTCATTTTCATTTTTCCAAAAAGGAGAATAAACAATCACACCACGACAAAACACAAAAATTTCTTAAAAGCTGTGTAAAATAAAATTCTACTTTTTTCAACAAAAAACAAAAACACCAAGGAGAGTTGTGGCTCATTTTCCCACACTGCTCCTTTCAGTGAAAAGAGGATCTCAGTTCTTTCGTACCATTGTTCCCATGCACTGGACCAAAAAATCCACAAGCTTCTCTTGGTGCCAGCCAATGTCTACCACCACCAGCTTGGGCATTAAGGCTGGATGGCCTCCTTTGCCAAAGGTAGTTCAGCTTGTCTGACTAAGCAGCTGTTGCTAGGTAGGATGCTGTTTTCCACCCCTCTACCGTGGGTTCAGTTAGGAGCCACCAGACATACCAAACCACAATCATGCAGAGCACACAGCTCCACCCCAAAAGCTGCCAGAGCCCAAAACCACTTTTTCCACATGGCTGACAAGCTCAGCTCCTAAGTCATTCCCTAAACTCTTGTCTTCTAGTTGCCACACACAGAGTTACCCAGAAAGCTCCCAAGTCTTAGTTATAGATTAAATACAGAACCAAGTACAATCCCTACCTCTGACTCTACATTTAGAAACATTTATACTAGCTCTTTGGATATCATGGTAACATCATTAAGGAAAAAAAAAAAACACACGCTGACATCAAAGCTCTTGCTACATGCAACTTGGAGTCTGGGGTGGAAACTAGGCATCTAATAATTTAATAAACTTACCCATGAAAGAATTACTTGAAGTTACTGACGCTGGCTCTGGATTCGTACTAAAATCTAAAGAGGACTTGTTCAGACACATGTTTTTCATTGCAGGCGCTTCATTCTGAGAGTAGCCGGAGTGAATGACCTTCCTCATGTGAGAAGGCCACCCTAGGTTACTGAAGCTCCGCTCACAGGGTTCTTCTGAGGAATGTGAACACGGGTAGCACTCCTTTTTCTTTATGTAACCAGGCTCATAGTGGTCCATTAAAGCTGTTCTTGGGTCTGGACTGCAACCTTTTTAATTGGGCACGCATACCAGAAGGAGACATAGTTAGCGCTTCTAGAAATCTTTCTAGGAAACAGAAGAAATAAGGATGAATGCCACACACCTGCATGATAGGCTTCAAAGGGATCTGGGCCATACACGTTCCCCTTCAAATACACAGGGCCTGAAGATCCCAAAAAGGGACAGAGGAACGGATCTGTGGCAGCTTCCACGTCAGCTTCACTGCTGTTGTCAATGTGGCAGGTCCCTTTAAAACACAAATCCAAGTCACTGAGTCAATTTTACTCATAGTGCCATTCAAGGTTTTCTCCAATTTTAGCATTTTACATACTTTAAGATAGAAATTTGGATAGAACATGATATAAAAGAAAACCTGCATAAATGTATAGGTCCCCCCCATTTTCCCCAATTTATTGAAGCCTATGGATGATACCCAAGTAATTTTGGGGCAGCTCACTGAAGGAGGGTCCAATTGGCACTGAATAGGGCATCTGGTTTCTAAGGGAAACTGATCTGTGTTTGGATTCTGCAGCCAAAGCACTAAAGGTTTAAGCCACATCCTACAAAATATCACAGATGAACAGAACCAGGGATTGGCATTTGATTTATGACCGCCTAGCACCCAGCTCAAAGATGAGGCCTGGCCAAAAAAAAAAAAAATAAAATAAAATCACTTATAGGCAGTTGAACTAACAGCACAAAAAATGATATGTCAGTTAGTAAAAGATACAGAAGTCCAAGGATAAACAACAATGTCAAGGTTAAGGTTGTCATGACAGGCCACATGCCTGGGAGGCAGAAAGTGAGGGCTTAGAAGGTGGGTGAGGGTCTGAGAGAGCAGCAGACATGCAGAGTGACCCAGCAATGTTGGGTTTCTAGACCTCTCTTGGAACAGACCCATCTCCTGGCTACATCTGGGCAGCTTGACATTATGCTCCAATTCTGTCCTTCAGGTTTTCATACATGTCTCTTTAATTAACCTCATTATATTTGAATGAGTTTGGGGCTCTGCTTTTTGCTACCAAATGGGCCTAGCCAGAATATTCATGCCCAGATATCCTTTTATCTCTACAGTGCTAGTACCAACTTGCCAAGCGCCCTGTTATGCTTTATGTAATTGTTTGTCTCACCACTGACTAAACTGAAAAATTGAAAACAAATACTCTTCCCTCCTAACTAGGAAGTCTGGCATAGAGCAAATACTCAATAAATGCTTGTGGTTAAAAAAAAAAAATGGTAAAATGTTTGAAATAACATCAATGATTCCACTTGCTGAGTCCTTGGTCTGTGCCAAGCACTGTGTAGTTTTCCATTTTCACAACCACCTCGCCAGTGAGCACTGTCACTGCCCAACCTACACAGGGAATGGGTGTGTGCCAAGACTACTCCTGTACCATCCTGCCTCCACCACGACCCTCAAAAACATGGAGCACCTAAAACAAGGGTCAGAATAGATATCTCTAACAGAAGGAATTTAAATCATTTGACTTTGGAGACCAGGTATGAAACTATTTAAGGAGAAAGGATATTCAGGGCCAAATATAAGGAAATATTACACTGCGTGGAGGACTTAAATTTTGCTTAAACTGCCTGTTTCCTTATATTGCCAGAAACAATGATTATCTAGTATTTAAGAGGAGAATATAAAACCATATAATTTCAGTTTTGCTAGTGATCTTAGGCCATGTCCTAAATATCAGTGTTTCAATTTCTTATAAAAGTTAATATTACAGATGAGCCTCCTACCATATGATTTCAAACAACTACAGTCATGGTTATTTTAAACACTCACCAGAACTGTCATGTTGTGGTAGGAAAAACCCACCTCCTGACGAAGTGACGAACTGGTGGTGGCTTCCACTTTCTGAAGAGATGTACCCATCCTGTCTGTCGGCTAATGTTCCCTGAGATGACAAATAACTAGGGATATCTGCTGGCAAGTTGGTCTCATCTGTAAAAAAAAAAAAAAAAAAAAAAAAAAAAAAAAGCATTCTGTCAACCAAAAATGAATGTCATTGTCCCCCAGGCTTTCCAGATGAACAGGAGATACTACTGCTTTGGTCGCTCCACAAATGAAGTAAGGGAAGATCAACTCTGGCAAAACTATCCAGATGTGTGGTATTCGGGAGATGCAAAGGAGGGCTTTTGGGCCCTGGGAAACATAAGCTGATGTGCTAGTTTATCACCTACTGGACGCAACTCCAAATTTCAAAACAAATATATAAAAAGATAAAAGACTCAAGAATTTTCATAGGATAGTAACTAAATCTTTGAATGATACTTGATTTGATATCTCAGTTTGCACAAATTAGTCAAGATGGCCCCATCCTGACTCACAATTACAGTCCCAGTGAATTCCCTTTACAATCCCCTTTACAAAAATGCTGTAAAGGGGAATCCTGGGAAGTCTAAGGTCACGCGTGGCTCTCCACCACCGTCCTGTGAGACTATTTTACTCTGATTTTATCTCACAGCCACCAGGATAGTCTAATGAGGTTTTAATAAAAAGTATTAATCTTTAAATATTAGCTTTATTCCAGGCTGAGTGTTACTTTTAGTTAACAATATTTCTGCAGCTTGAAACGAATGAGTCACCATTCTGAAATGGGCTCAGACTGTAAGACACACACTCTAGAAAAAATGACTGCAGAACCACAAACACGTGACCACAGCATCCCGTGCCACACTTCTGCCGACGCACCTGTGTTGGTAATGCTGCAGTCCTCGTTCCTCCGCCGGGTGTGGTATATGATGACCACCCACACCAGCGACGTGCCCACCACACAGCAAACCACAGCTATGATCACCACGCCCACGGTGGCCCAGCCATCCTCGTCCAAAGACGGGGCGGTCATCTGAGGAGAGTCGCAGGTGGGAGTGGGGATCACACTAAGGCGCACGTTGCCCCTCTCAGTGCCAAGGGTATTGGACATTTCACACGTGTATTTTCCAGCATCGCTGACATCAGAGTCCACGATAATCAGCAGCTGATTGCCTGCTGCAAAAAAGTGCCTTTCAGTCACCAACAAAGGGCTGTCATCTTTGGTCCAGTTCAGTCTGGGTGGAGGGCTACCGCCAGCAATGCACTGCAGCACGGCCGTCTCGCCCTTGGTTACCGTTCGGTCTAACAGAGGCCGCAAGAAGGATGGCGTTTCTGAAAGGGCAAGTTACAGTTTTAATTTCCTAAGTGAAATCTGTTTCCCATATCAGGACAACTAGCATTTTTATTCAAATTGCAGCCTAAAATCTTGAGCTCCCCAAAGAGGCTGGACATCTCTCTTAAAGAGCCTAAAAACAATGCAACCTTTGGGTTTTTGTTACTCTGCTTTCATTTACTCCTAACACCAGGTAAGGAAGATAACTACTACTTTCAGCTCAATCTCCTTCCTTCTTGCCAAGGTTAGAAAACTGGTAGTGGGGGGAAGTTGATAAAATAGTTTTTAAAAATAGAAAAAATATATTAAAATAATTTGAAGAATTAGAGTGTGTTGGCAGATTTATAAAAAAAAAAAAACAAAAAACAAAAAAAAACAACTCCAGAATGCTTATATTCTTAAGGTGAAACTTTGTATTGTCAAATGCGCTTAGGTATAAATTAAAATTCTAAACATGATTTACTTTTATTATTTGATATCTTAATAGGTTACTTTAACTTTTTCAAAGATGTGTTATTACTATAATGTAATCACAGTTGTAAGAAGCATTTGTTTAGGTAAAAGATTAAACAAGAACCTTGGTTTCTAGAGTGGTATGGGAGGCTGAGAAGGGAGAACAGGTCCTTCCCAATATGTTCATACATTTATTTTTTGTTCTTTATAGTGTTAAAAGACTGTGGAGAATATGCAACATGCCCAGTAGAAGGCAGTAATCCTGGCAAAAATGAAAGAGGTCAAAGCTTTTACTTGTTCCCTCTCCTAGGGACGGAAAAATTCACCTCCTGGGCCATTGATGTAGAGGTGCAAAGCTTTGCTGGTTTCACAGCTTTGGGGAAGCCCTTTTTTCTTTCTAGCAACAGACAGTGCCCTATGGTTTTCTTCCCACCAAGGCTCTGGTGTGAGCCCATAATATTTGCAGGACTGATACAAACTGCAGAGTGGCCAGGAATCCTCTTACCCAGCACCGTCAGAGTTGCATTTGCAGAAATGCTTCCTGCACTGTTCTGAGCTGTGCAGCTGTACACCCCAATGTCCTCTATCTTCACGTCTACGATGAAGAATACGTCGTCCTCGGGCATCACGTGCATGCGTCTCTCCCTTGCGGCAGGAAAGTCAGTACCTCCGTCCTTCTGCCAGGCTATCTGAGGAGTAGGGTGTCCCACGGCTGCGCACTCCAAGCGTGCCATGGCCCCGGCTCGGATGGTGAGGTCCATCGGGGTTTTGGTGAATGAGGGAAGCACTGAAATCAAAAGGCAGCGCAGGCATGAGTGTCAGGGCCTTGGGAGGGTCCGCCTGTATCCACCCTGATTCCTTCGTATTCCAAATGCCCCTGACAAAGGTAGGACAGGCTTAGTGCTGACTTCAGGACAGGGAAACTGAGACAGATGCAGTAACCTGCTCAGGATTACACAGGGATAGAAGTGAGGGAGTCAGGATGAAAGACAGGTCATGTGATCCTCAGACTGAAGGGCTCCCTGCTATAATTCTGGGCACTTTTAGTTTAATCAATAACTAAGATCTTCAGCAAGTCAATTGATCTCTTTCTACTATGACTATTCATTTCATCTAGTTTTTAAATTTTTTCTTAAGTCCATCTTAGAGGCCCTAACATTTTAAGACTTTAGATATGTTCTATACTATGATTTTAATTCAAAATATTCTATGTGCCAGGCCTCAATAATTATTTGTTGAATGAATGTGTTAATGAATCACACAAAAAGCTTCTGTCATGCAGATACTAAAGGTTAAATGATAAAGTGGTAAGGGTCCTCTTATAAAACTATGCCTGGGGTTGGGGTTGTGGCTCAGCGGTAGAGTACTTGCCTAGCAAGTGTGAGGCACTGGGTTCAATCCTCAGCACCACATAAAAATAAAATAAAAGTTAGTGTGTCCACCTACAACTAAAAAACATTTATATATACACACACACACACACACACACACATATGTATATGTGTGTATATATATATATATATGTATACCTAACACACATAGGAAATAGCGATATAACTTTATTAACAGTAGCTGACATTAACTGTATTTATAGGTACTAACTAGATTCTAATGCATTCTGCTAAGTACTTTATACACAATATTTTACTTAGTGATCATAATACCTATGAGGTGGGCACTATTATCCTTAATTAGAAGACTGGAAACAGAGGTACAGAGACGTTGAGTAATTTGCTGAAAGTAACACAGCTTTAGCCTGGAGTGGCAGGATTCACATTCAGATCTCTGAGTTAAAGGCAGTGTGTTTTGATGATACACTTGGTGGCCTCTCCAATCAGGGTGGTAGATTGTGAACTCCCACACACCAAAACATGTCTGCTACAGTTCTGAGTCTGATTCATCCTATCATATTGAGTGAGGTGTCAACAGCGTAATAACTGCTGGCTTAGATAGAAATAATTGAGAATCTTAATTTTGTGGAGTAAGAGATACGGAAAGGAAGAGTCAGGTGGGAAACTATGAGACAGGAAAGACAGGGTTAGGAATGAGAGAGGGAGAAAGAAAACCATGTGTTTTCTGTTTCTACAAGTTGTCTTCCAATGCAAAAAGGAAAAGTAGGATTACATACTATTCACTGTAAGCTTGGCTTTGACAGAGTAGGAGGAACCAAAGTGATTGGAGATGACACACTGGTATTTCCCTTCGCTAGCAAATTCCACATTGCGCAGCCGAAGAATGGTGGTGTATTCCATCACCTCACCACCCTGGGCCCGGAGGTGTGCATAATTTTCCATCTCAGCATCGTGCAGTAGTTCATTGTCTTTTTTCCAGGCGAAAGTCATTGGGGAATCACTGCTGCTGGCAGCTGAGCAGATAAAACTCAGATTGGAGCCTTTTATTGCTGACTGCGTTTCTGGCTGAACCGTGATCTGGGGTTTGGGAAAATCATCTGTTTGAAATGGAGAGGAGGAAACAACAATGTGAAGGCTCCAGAGTCTGAACACTGCTCAAACCTGAGCACCAAGGAGTGCAAAACCAAAAGCATCTTAGGCTCAACCTCTGTGTGTGTTTTACAGACAGCCCAGCAGATGCGGCTGAAGCAATAGCCTGGGACAATGTTTGTAAAGCAATCTATTCATGTCACCTGGAGACAGACTGATCTGCCCGCTGTGGTTACCTGGGAAAAGACTGCTGTCTTGAAACTATCAGAAAACCCAGTTTTTTTCCAGATGCCTTGTGCTTTGTATAAATGTAAGAAGAAAGCAGTTAAGAAGTCACAAGGGAAATGAGACAATATTTAAAACTGAGCAATGTGGTAGGATCACAATGGTTGACAGCAATTAAGTGATTATTTCTAAAGAGCCAGCAGAGAGGATTTTCAATGTTCCCACCACCAAGAACTGGTGCATGTCTGAGGTGACAGATACACGTCACCCTGATCATGACAGTGTGTATATGTATTGAAGCATCACACTGTGCTCCATAGATGTACCATTAACATGTGTTAATTAAACTATTTTAAAAAGAACAAGGTTAGGAAACTTCCAAGTTCATGAACAATCTTTGAATGCTACTATCAGGAACTATAATTTGTCCTGTATTCTCCACAAATAAGGAACAGCAAAATTAAGAGAGAAAATACCAATCGTAATAATCAGTATCACCAAAGAGAGTAATTAACACCCCATCTACCAAAAACAGAGCCAATATTAAAAACAAGTAATTCAGGTAGAGCCAAAAAAAAAAAAAAAACCAACCAGAAAAAGAAAAGAAAATCCTGTAGTAAACGAGAAGCATCTCCAAGTCTAACAGTGAGACACTAGTTCTGGCCTGGAGTTCAGAGCAGCCAATCAATCACGCTGCTGTTCTACCCTGTCAAAGCTACATTATAATTACAGCTGAGCAAGTCTTTCATTCTAAGCCGTTATTTTTAGTTCTCTGGTACTTTTTGGAAAAGTCACCTTTTTTGAACTTCAGTTTCTAAGAGATGGTCTAAACCCAGAAGGAAACTGATCTCCCAATATGTATTATTTGGGTGATCTGAAATAAATAACCTTTTATGTGTGTGAATGAAACATGGAGGATACCCTGATAAAGCCAGTGCTGCCAATTTTCAATGCTATACTGCATGTTGTAAACAAGATTTTCCTAGAATTCTCATCTGATAAATCAGGGTTCAGACTCATAATAACGTATAGGTTAATGTATAGGTATTTGTTTCAAACTAATAAGGAGCTTATTCTTAAGATTAAAGAACTGAGAAATAAGGACCATGGGAAAGGAGTAACTCAGGCCTTTACAGATGAATGCCAAAAGCTTATTTGGATCCAAGAGCTACATCAGAGATTTTATTTCCAGAAACTACTGATACTATTTAATGCTGCAACCAAATATATATATATAGTAGGCAAAGCAGTGTTGAGTAGATATGTAAATGCTACTGTAAAATATAGTTCTGAAGTATCTTCACATGCTTAAATTTAAGCAAATTTGGACTGCACGTTTTATACACACATTTATTTTTATAAAGATTTCCCTAGTAGCTAACAGTGAACAGCAGTGTAGTGTTATATAGTAGATAGAATATGCATCAGAGATGGAAACCTCAGTTTTCAATTGCAATCTGCTACTGACTAGCAATGTGAACTTTGGATAAGCAGACTTGTAATGCAGCTATTCTCAAGTGCTAGAACAATGGACCTTAAAATCATTACCATGAATTCAAATTTGCTATTACTTGTAATGCTTTACTCACCAACAGTTAATTTTAAAGCACCCTAAAAATCCTTAGCTACAAAATTTTCTCTTTTCTACAAGTTTTACAATAAACCCTAGAGTTGAGAAGAGCAGAAAGCAGTTAAGAAACTTCTAGGCTCCTGGTCTATCTTTGAATGCTACTATCAGGAACTGCAATTTCTCCCATGTTCTCCATAAATGAGGAACAGCAAAATTAAGAACGCAAACATCAATCATAATAATCAGTGTCACCAAAGACAGTAACACACATCTACCAAAAACAGAGCCAATATGAAAAAGCAGTAACAGAGCCTTCACTTCATAGATGCAGAGACTAAAAAGGGCTGGGACTATCATTCAGTGCTCTCAAGATCCAATTTCATTCCCTTTCTACCAAACTACCCTGATGCCAAAACAAAGATGAAGAAATTTTAGAAAACTCTCTTTCCCATCTGTAAAATCAGAATAATCAGCAAACTAAAGATCCATTTTCGTTAACCTCAGCAGAAATAAAAGCTTTATTAAGAGAATGCAAATCTATTCAGAACCATTATTTGAACAAATGGGAAGAAAAAAAAAAGAATGAATAAAAATCAAGGGCAATATTTATACTCACCACACACAAAGCCATCTGGGCTAACAGCAAAAATACTTCTTCCTTTTAGCAGCTGAGGATGGGCGCAACTGGCATTTACAAAGCTCTGAAAGTTGTTCTCTGCCACCCACTGTGGGAGCCATTTTAGTTGGCAATCACACAAAAGACTTGATGTATTTAGATGCCTGAGGAGAGTAATTACATTCAATTTGTTTTGTATGAAATGCAGATTTCTACAAGTAAATTACATTCAAGTAAATATTAACAAAGCAATGAATTTGGAAACCAAATACATATATCCCATGTTATAAATATTCCATAGTCTATCTTAAAATGGAAGAAGTTTACCTATCCTGTTTTTAGTTTTTTCCTGTCTCTATTCTTCTTATTGTCTGACTGAAGCAGAAGTGCTGATGTATCAAAATTCCTTACTACTAAAACACTGCCGCTATATTTAAGCACCGTACTCCATTTGGTACCACAAATTTAAGTTGCAAATTCAAAACAGAAAGAAAAAGAAATTCCTCACTGCAACAAAGAAAGCAAAAAATCAATTCCTTTTCCAGTATAAAAATGAAGTCACGTTAGGAAAGAGCTAGTCACTTTATAGACACATCAGCTGGGATGACACATCACAGGACAGCTGTCCCTGCTATGATTTACTTGAGGCTCTTGGAAGGAAGAGAAAAGCTTACAGTTGTTGAAGTTTCTTCATTTGTGAAAATGCATTTCCTTGTAATGACATAATCGCGTTGTCACTCAGGTCTCTGAAAGAACCAAATCAAACACATCATGGTCATTTTGGGTCATCAGGCAACACACTGCCCATCCCATTCTCCAAGCAAATCCTCTATACTGAAATGCAAGAAGGGGACAATCCTAGAAGAATCCATTACAAAGCATGGGACTGAGGAAGAGGACGTGTGTGTTATAAGGCTCTGTGATGGTAAGAGGTACTTTCTGTCACCATCAGGTTATTTGGCTCCTGAGGGCCTGAGATGTTCTGCTATATTATTTTATTGTACTTTTCATTATTCTAATTAGTAACCAGAACTTTTTAAATACACAAACAAAACTCCTCATAATTATGTGTTCTAAAACCATCATTTACAGAACATTTTCTATGACCTGTACTCTGTTTAGTGATGCACATATATTATTGTTTTCAATTCTAGAATAACTCAGAAGAGGGAGGTATTTGCCCCCACCAGCCCAATTCTGCCAAACACAGCTCACTCACATAAGAGCAGTAAGCTATTCAGACAAGATGTACTTGTTAAAACAAACACTCCAGGTAGGACATTCAAAACATAAAAAGAATCTTCTGGGCTGATTTTATTTTTAACTAGCACTTATAAATAGTTTGAATTAACATATCGGCCACAATGATTGCTACTGTTTTTCTTTATGGAGGTCAGAGTATACAGAAGGCATTTTGAATGAGACGAGTGGCAAAAGAAGACAAAGAATCATGGTGCCAGACATGGCTAGGGAAAGAGGCTGGGAGAGTCAAAGAAGGTTAAAAAAAATTGAAGCAGAGGTTAATACTCCACTGATCCACTAATTCCACTTTCCCAGAAATGGAATGGGCCAAATGACAAACCCTTTTGGCTAGTTTTCCTTTGAAAATAATCTGTTTCAATAAGTTCAGCAATACTAGCCCAACCTTCCAGAACTCAGCTTTGCAGAATCATTCTTCTACAGTTTTCTCTGCTGCACTGGCAGCAGGTCTAGCAATCCAAATCTCTCTCAAATTAACTGGTAGAGTCAAAAAATGACTAAAAGGTGGTGTAGAAATAACACTGAAATCTTTGCTTTTTACATATGGTCCGAATGAGTATATAAGCCAAATGCATATTTTAAACATAACTTATTTTGTTCAAGTTCACAGATATTAAAAATTTTGGTTATAAGCATTTCTTAATAGACACATTATATATTATGTTATCATTTTACTGTACAATTGTAAAATGTATATACCCCTGGGTATGAGCAGTTGGTCGGTTCAGTTAGTAATAACACAGTATACAGGCAGGTTTGGATTCCTCCCAACACCGGCCAACTTTCCTTTCCTCATGGCTGAAAATTCTGAACCCCTAAATCTTATTTCAAAAATGTGTGCTGGGAGGTTCCTGAAGAGAGGTAGAGATTAGGCAGGCAAAGGCAGAGGGAGGCAGGGACTCCGTGAAGGAGGAGAGAGCCCTGCCTTGAGTCCTACCTTTGCCAGTTGCTAAGTTATGGGTCAATAATGAAGGAGAATGGGGAATGGGGAGATGGCTACACATTTTATACTAAACAAAACCAACAAAAAAATTTTTCAACATGTGTTAAGATCTCCTATGCTATTCTTGGGGATTAAGGAGAACTGGATTTTTGCTCTTCAAAATGCAGTTCATTCTCTTAATTGTCCAGTGGAATTAATGAACTTCTAGGACTTCTGTTGAACTTAAAGATAATAGGAACTACTGAATAATATTCTCATAAGGGTTAAATGAGACCATATACAAATACCTCTCACCATGTCCAGCATGCATTAACCACACAATAGATAGGTTTGTTTTTTTTTTTTTAATTAAATGTATCATTACTTAAGAAAAGTGAAGAAAATCCAAAAATGAAGTAGAGCAATGTCCTTAAATGTATAGGAAAACACAGATATGCACACCAGCAGACAGATCAATAGGCAAGCAAATAGGCAGGTATAAAGATAGATATATAAACACATTTGTGGTCCTGGGAGAATGACAACAAACTTGCACTCTAGTTAGTTTTATCTTTCAAGAAACACCTCAGACTACCTTTAAGGTAACTTAATTCCATCTACTCACAGATGTTCTAATGCATCCAGGCCAGTGAAGGCTTTTTTGGTAATAGACCGGATCCGGTTCCCCTGGAGTATTCTGGAAGGGTAGGTAGGCAGGAATAATCAGAGAACAGAACAGTTAATTACAAAAAGCCACTCTGCTGGTGGAACTCTCATAAAAACAATTGCTCTTTCAATCATTTGTGAGCAAGTATATTTTCATCAATTCAACAATATGTCTTAAAAACTATATCCATTGTACAATATGATTGTCAAAACATTCAACAGTAAACCTAAAAGTAAGAAGTTACTCTGATGGTGACATTAAAGCACTGCTTTTTGGTCTTTTTAGGAATAGGAAGGAACTTTATTTCAAGGAAATTCTTTCAGATAAAGCACATAATAGTGGAAGTTTTCTTCTTCCCCTCCTCTTTGGATATCTTCATAGTCAGCTTAGAACAAAATTTGGCCATCTGTAAGAACGTTTTATGGCTAAATGTGTTTTCATCCTGTATTCTGGGGACCTTCTGCAGTATTAATCACTGGATCACTTTGTTTGAAAATTCATGTGAGTAGAATGCAACACATAGGGTTTCAAAATGTTCACGTTAGCGTTATGGTTTGGCCATGAGATGTCCTCTGAATTGCTCAGGTGGCAATGCAGTGTTGTTCACAGGTGAAATGACTGGATCTTCATCAGTGGATTAATCTGCTTGACGAATTAATAATTTGAATATTGGGTAAAAACTGTAGGCAGGTCACTGAGGGAGTACGCTTGGGGATTAAACCCTATCCCTGGCTCCTTCCGCTCCTGCATGCCCTCTCTGTTTCCTGATTGCCATGAGCTGGGCAGCACTCCTCCACCACTCCATTCCTCCATGATGCTCTGCATCTTCTCAGGCCCAGAGCAATGGAGTTGGCCACCCATGGACTCAACCTCTGAAACCCTGCACCCCAAATAATCTTTCCCTACTCTGAATTGCTCGTCAGGTTATTTTGGTCACAGCAATAAAAAGCTGACTAACAGTAAGTATGCCTACTTTTACCCAGTGATAATTCCCAAAGTCTAAGCAGTGCAAATAATTAAAAATGTAGTTATATATTAGTAGACACTGAGATCAGTTGTACACCTTAAATGTTAAATTTTTTCCCCTTTTATCCAAGGAACAAAAGCTAATTATTATATACACATCTTGTAGAACACTCATTTGGGGGAAATGATACAGGGTAACAACAGGATTACACATCAACTTATAATCTCTTTACAGTGTTAATTTGTGGAACTGACTTCAATTAAGACAAAAATTTTAAGTCAAAGACTGAGCCAAATTATGAGGCAAATAATACTCACAGGCGTCTCAGTTTGTCAAGCCCAGAGAAAGCACCATTCATGTCTTCAATAGTCCATGAAATCTCATTGTTCTTCAGGTCCCTAATTAAAAAGAGCATTATCTTTAGAGAGATGCTTCAGAAACCTAAGATCACCACCCAGGTGGCATGCCATTTGTAACAAACTCCTCCTAATTCCCCCTATCATCTCCACCCCTTTCAAAATCATAAACTCTTCGCTTCCCAAGGCACCTCTCATAGTCTATACTCTTCCCTCAAACTACATTTTAAGTTTCTGCCCCAAATCCAGATAGCTGACTCTGGCCTTGTTAATTCCTGTATCAAGATGACTAAATTCTGAAGACTTGAAGAGTCTGAAAACTGCATTAAACTTTAAAACCACAGTTCCAACCACACAAGCAGGAGTTCGCCAAAGCATACAGCGTCTTTCAATTATGTAATGCTTCAAACAGGGAACAGAGCACAAATTTCTGACAGCGCAAAAATCAAGGGCCCATTGCACAATGTTAAATTAATATCTGAGAGATTTTTTTCAAAGGTCAATTAATTCAACTCTCTTTTCTTTCTCTTAGGACAGCGATCAGGTTGTAGATGTAACTGGCATGAGAAGTAGGCATCATCCTCCACTGCCCTTTGTCTATCTTTTTGCTCTGGGTAATTTTTAATCTGCATTTTCTAAAGAAAAGTTAGTGGATTTAAAACTGCGTCCCTCTTGGGCAGTTATCAACTTCCTGGAGATCCTGAGAAGGCTAACCATAATCACCCAAAAAATCTGATCACTGTCCTTTGAATCCCTTTATGAAACACATGTGGATAAAATGGATCCATTTTAATCAAACTGTTCTGGGAAAGATTAAGATGCTACTGTTGAGGCTGTACACATTTCCTTGACAACAAAGGAAATCTGCTGGGAGAAAAGTGGGCGCATTTAGGAACCAATTAGGTTCATGTACCGAAAGCAGAAAGTGTAACTTACAAAGTCTTTAAACTGGAAAGCCCCCGGAAGGCACAGTCAGCGATGTAGCTGACTTTGTTGTTCCCAATGTGCAATGTGTTTAGTAGGCTGAGGCCAAGGAAGCTTGAATCATCTAACCTTGATAAGTGGTTGAAAGTTAGGTCCCTATAAAGATAAAAAGGAATTTTAGAAAACGGCTTTGACTTTTCCATTCAACATGACGATTTGCTTCCTGACGGACAGGCAATAAATGTAACTATGACAATCCTTATTTTAAAATCTGACCTCAACAATACTCAGGGTAAACATTATTTTTATTCCCAATAATTTAAAAAAACCCCAAAATAACCATGATTGCTTTTGCCCATGCACCACGAAACAGCAGAGTTGGCTTCAACTTATCACAACAATAAATATAAGGACGAAGTTGCATGTGAAAAAAAAAATCTGTCACCTTGGAAACTTTGTTATGAAAATTTCACAGATCAGTGGTAAGAAGCTCATGCTCTGGCATGATCCCTGCTCTCAAACCTGAGAATAAAAGGCAACTCACAGCTCACTGAGTTTCTGGCAGAACTCCCAGGCATCGGGGCTGATCCTGTTGATGGCATTCTGGCTGAGATGAAGTTCCTGCAGCATCAGCAAGCCATAAAGCCAGCCTTTGGTAATCTCTGTTAGGTTGTTGTGGTCCAGCTGCCTACATTTATAAGAAGAATCAAAGGCAGAATCCAAAGTTCATTATTGAGTCTCTTCAAAGGGGACATGTGATTCCATCTGAGGACACATTCCGATTGTTTAATAGATATTTAGCTCTTGCTATCAGAAGATATTGGCAGAAAATACTCTAAAATCTTTCTTATAAGTTTATGTGCTTAGGAATTTTCAACCAGATTACCTGAAACAAAACTCAATAGTAAATTATAAATAAGATTGTGCACTATGAGATTTTAACAGTATTTCAAGTGGGAACTACTGGGTGTTCTACCTTCTTGCTCGCTGAGTGGGAACTGTGAGAACCCACACTTACAAGATTTCCATGTTGCTGAGGCCCCAAAAAGCTCCATCCATAAGTTTTGTTACTCCGTTCCTTTGCATTTTCAGAGACTTCAGAGCACTAAGCCCTTGGAATGAGAGTCCATCTACATTTTTAATCTTGTTTCGGTTCAGTTCACTGCATTGGATATGACAAATTAAACAGTTAGCTTATATGACAATTAAATTCTGGAGGGAGTAATAAAATGTGTCATTACGACAATATATTTAACCCAGTCAGTGTTAAATTACATAGAACGTTTTAAATTTCTAAACATTTTTATTGAGAAGAATTTCAGTTTATTAGCAGTGAGTGAATTTCTGTCTGAAATATGTGATGTATTTTTGGAATAATAAAATATTGAAACCAGACTGCACTTGAGTTTCTAAACCACAGTCCACTCAGCATAGAAGCATATCAATTAATATTTGTTTTTAAATGATCCAGAATGAGGACATTAAACATTCCACTAAAACGTGAGGTCTTTTCAGGATCAGGGCCTTCAAGAGTATCCTGCTCCGTCTGCTTACAAAATTGGTTACTCTCTTCCCTGACTCGTTTTAGGTTTAATTATTTCTTTTAAGGCTGTATGTAGTTCTCAATCTTGGATGCACACTGGAACCACCTGGGGAGTTTTAAAAGTTACTGAAGCCTGGCTCTTACTCCCAGAGGTTTTAATGTAATTGGTCTAGGGCGTGGCCTGGGTGCTGGGATTTTTAAAAGCTCCCCAAGTCTCTGTAATGTGCAGCCAAGGCTGAAAACCACTACTGCAGGAGCCTGTTCACAGATCATTCTCCCATTATTAACAAGACAGTTCTTTACAGCCTCTTAAGCTATCGGGGCCACCTGGAGTTGTCGGCATTATTCTCATAAACCGCAGCTGTTGAGAGCCCCATGATTTCTTTGGTGCCACAATGGCACCTTTGTAAGGAGGCCATTCAATGATAACACTGTTACCTCTTTCAGTATCAATCTACAGTGTCTTGTCAGGCAGCAGCTGGTAGTGGGTGATGACTAAGGATCCTCCCAATCCAAAGATTCTACAACCCCAGCTCTCAGAAGAAAGGTGGCCATGTGCTTGCTTCCAAATGCCTTTTACCAGAGTGTGAAGTTTGGAATACAGACATCAGGATTAGGAGGAGGTGAGGGAAACAGTATCCAAGAGGACACTGGACTTACAGGTGTTGCAGTTGGGGCAGTTTAAACATCTTGGGTGGGATAGTTGAGATTCGGTTCCTGTTCAGCTTTAACACCAAGAGTGTGTTGGCCAAATTGTCAAAATACCCAGGTTCCATGGATGTGACTCTGTTGCTGTTGATGTACCTGTTGAACATTTGAGGATGAGCTGCTCTTTCTAGTTTCTCTGGGAAGTTTAAGTGCATGCAACCTCTGCATTATAAAGAATCTCCAGAGAGCTTAACATTCAATGGATATTTACAATAATTACCCTTAGGTCCTTGTGGACAAATGTTGATGTGAAGATTCACACACATTGGCTGGGGGGTATAGCTCAGGGGGAAATGCATGCATGGCATTTGTGAGGCCTTGGGTTCAATCCCAACGCTCAAATCCATAAGCAAATAACAAGAATATCACACGTATTTCTGGGGAAAGAGTGGGAGGCTTGAAGTTTACAAAAATCTGTTAAGATAAGCCTCTACTTTTGTGACATTCATTTTTCATCCAGGCACAGTGGCACAAGCCTATAATCCCAGCAGCTTGGGAGGCTGAGGCAGGAGGATCGCAAGTTCAAAGCCAACCTCAGCAACTTGTGAAACCCTGTGTCAAAATAAAATATAAAAAGGACTGGGGATGTGGCTTAGTGTTTAAGTGGCCCTGGATTTAATCCCCAGTACCAAAATAAACAAACAAACAACCCCCCCCCAAAAAAAAAAAACAACAAAAAACACAAAACAAAATGGGGGAAAAAAAAAAACACAGCAAAGTTAACTTTGATTTTTTTTTAAAGAAACATTTTGACACAATTTTTTATATAGTCAAAGATAATCCCAAAGTGTCAGAATAAAATGGAGATTGTGGTTACCACACATTTCAAATCAATAAGAAAGTTATATTTTTTGATCCATCAGTAGTTAGGCAGTGTTTGTTGTATCTTTTTTTTTTTTTTTTTCATTATAACATGATATTTTCATTGGAGATAAAAACTTTTGGTAGAGAAAACTTCACTTACAGATATTTGAGTTGAAGGGGTGGAAATGCAGTTTTAAGTTCTGAAATATTGTTGCTGCTTAGATCCAAAGTTTCAAGGGACTGAAATTGTTTCAGATGTTCAGGTAATATCTCTGCAATCCTATTTCCAGCTCTGGAATTAAAAGAAAGCACAGATAACTGGTTGAATGGTACAAAAAAATGAAAGGAGAAAAATATTTCCTATTCCTGCTGAAAAAAGAAGAATCTTCTCTGTTCCTAACTTTTTCTTAAAAAATATGCAATGGTGATTAAAACAGTACTTTTCAAAGTTAAGCAGTAATTCCACAACCACTTTGATTTATTCACTGAATCTTAAATCATATCATATTAGAACATATGAAACACATTCCTATAAGTCTGATACTATTTGGCAGTAGCTGTCTAAGCACTATCCACTTAAGACAACATGCTATTTTTCAAAATAGTTCTTCCTCATCTTATTACACGGTAAGTGAAAGTCCTAGTATCAAGAGGGATATAAGCACTGATGAAATTATTTCCCATTTCTTCTCCCTGATTTATAATCTAATTCTTCTCTTGCAAAGTACCCACACTACAGGTGCCAATGAACTTCAAATACTCACGAGAATGGGGCCTTTTTAAAAAAAAACATTCTGGAAAGATTTTTTTTTTTTCCTTTTAGCAACAGCAAGTTTCAATGCATTGCCAAAGTTTCAATGCCAGTACAGATGCTCCAGGGCTTTCAATACTATAAAAATATTATGTAAGATCATACTAGTCTAATCCCTGGGCAGTTAGGTTAAGACAGGTTTGACATTAACAGTCTAAATCAAGATGCACAACACAGGAGCCACTAGTCACATATGGCTCTTTAAATTTTAATCAATTAAATGTTAGAATTTAGTTCCTTGGTTACAGTAGGCAGTAGCTATCAAAAAGGACAAAACACACAGTTCTGTCCCAGTTCTGATAATGTTACTGGACTTCACATGGCAGGAAAAACAAGAAAACAAACCAACAAAATCAAAAGAGGCCAAGTCAAACTTCTTAAAAGGACATCAATACTACCGGTCCCAACGGGAAATTCAGCTAAGTGACAGTTTTGTTAGAAAACAGGAATCGAACAGACATGCAAGTCATCTCCACTGCCATATTAGATCAGGTAGCTTGGTCTTTTTAGACCATCATTTGGTGGGGGAAATTAACATGTCAGAGCAGAAAAGTTGGGAAGATAAGAGCCCTTCTACAAATCATGAGAAGGTCTTCTCTTTACAACCCAAGGAATGGTGAAACAATCTGTATGTTGAAGGCAGAGCTGTTACAAAGATCACACCTTGCATTTCTTTGGTCTGCAGTTAATCTTCACTTAACAAGAAAACTTAGAAGATATATCTCATATCTGTATCTCCTTTATCAATAGCTGGATTCTGTAACACTCTGAGTTTATTAAGTTCTTCTGTATTAGTATATGTCTCAGGCATCTCCCAACCTCAGAAGTTTCCTGAGTTAGGTGTAGCCTGTACTTATATTCCCCAAATCCTACACTGCATTCTGACATAGTATATACAATGCTGGTCTTCTTTGCCATATTGCAAGTTTATTAGAAGCAGACATATATCTTTATCTCTACCCTGGAATGTGTATGAAATCTAGTAGTGTTGAGCAAAGAATAGGGGCCAAGCCCTATGCCAAACACTTCTCATATACTATGCTATTTAATCTTAAAATAATATCTCTGATAGAGATACAATAGATGGTTTTAAAATTAAAAAATCAGGGCTTTTCATGTAACAAGCTGAGTATTTCTAAGCCATCGCAGAGCATAAGTCTAAATTGGTCCCAAAGCAATTCCTGAAGGTTTGTCTCAAAGAACTCAGAGTATCAAAGATATTTTGGCAATTAAATTCTTACTGGAGATGTACCTTCAGAAAGATCTAAAATGCTTCACCTTGCAAAACTGCTCAACAGAAGTTGAAGCCAGAAGGCTTGAAGTGAACATAGGACTCCACCTGGTTCACTAAGTCTTCACCATGCCAACACTCACAAATGCCCTAGGACAGGACCTCTCCCATTTACACTTGACCCTCTGGAGTTACAAGGTTGTATTCCTGATTATGTGCAAATGTCAGGTGCTGTTTTCTCCACAATAAAGAACAATAAAGAGGAGAAAACAGGCCCCAAGTTATGTATTTAAACAAAAAACTAATACAACTTCTCAAATATTGCTAAACCCCACAGCAAATGACTTTTATGTCATTTTTGATCTTTAAAAATCCAAGCCAACAGAGAATTTAACTCCATTTTTTTAAAGTAATCCTATACAAGCCTAGAAAATACATATTTTAAGAGCTGAACTTGGCAATTAACAACAAAGTTAAAAACAAAAAGTATTAGCAGTTCTGTGTACAAATCACAAATTAGCAAACCCCTCAGATTCCCATAAAGTCTTCCAGAATTTGTTTAGAATCAAGTCAGCCATGACCTCTGATTTTGACCATTTCCCACATCTGGATTCGCCAGTGCGTAAACTCCTTGATCTAGCTGTGAGGTAAAGGGTAATGCAAGAAAGACAATTAGTCAATTTCTAGGTCCCGGAGATGGAATCAATCCAAGGGACAAGCCACAGGCCTTCAGGGTCAGGGTGTGTGGGTTAAACAAAACCACACTTTGGGGCACACAAATTTTTTCTAAAATACATAAACCAATGTTTGCATTATCAGGATGTCCTCCCACCAAGAGTGCAGTAACCCTGAAATGTCCAAGTGCCCCTTCTTTCCAGACCTTGCTCTGTCCCTAGCTACATCTCCTTTCATAAATCTGCATCTGGTTTTGGCTCCCAGGCTGTCTGGGTCTAGTATAGCTACACTTACACTTTAAAAACAACAGAAAGAAAACACTTAGCCAGAGATTTTTGCAATAAATGGAGCAAATTAGGGTTTCAGGGGAGGGAGAGCGAGACTCACAGGTGTCTATCACCCTGGTCAAACAAGGCTACAAGATAACAGACCATACAATCTTTGGTTTATATATTCGTTTGTTTATAAGGCAATTATGAACAAGGTATTAAAACTGCCAATTACTTGAGTGACGAATAAAATTTTCCTTGCAGTAAAAGTATACTCCAGCCAAAGCCAGCAATTTCCTGAGCTGCACACCTCCTAAATTGCAGTGTGAAAGTGCTCAGTTATAGATGGAGCATGCACAGTACAGTCTTTGTCAGCTCTGCGCCCCAGCACAAAAATCCCTTACAACTGCCAGGATAATAGCCCCTGTATCACAAAAATTTAAATCTGTCCTAATGGAACTGAATTAAATCCAAATGCCAGTTTCTTATTAGCGCTTAAAGTAACTGGCAAATAACCACCTGATATGTACCAGTTTAAAACACAAAACAAATCCCCTCCTAAAAAAAAAAAAAAAAAAACTTGCTTTATATCATGAAAGAAAGGTAAAAAAACAAGATTATAGTTAAAAAAAAATCTCTATCATCTGAAACTTCCAAAATAAGTTCATATCACAGAGTGGGTCAAAATAGCCACTTCTAGGAGACAAAGATTCAATTCAGCTCCACCTTTCATTTTTCTTCAAATATGGATAAATGCCAAAGTCGATCGACATAGTAAAAAGCATTGCAGTTAATTAATATTTTTGGCAGGATGTGTGCAACACCTGAACAAAAATAAAACTGGGTCAATACTTTTTCTGTTATTTAAGCCACGTAGAAATACCATCTTTCCATTGTTCAAAAATCAGAACATGGTACTATAAGCACTGAAAGGTGCTTTAGGTTCATGCAAACCCACCTAAGAGACTAGAAATATTTTGGTCTTCTCTGTTTAGAGTACAGGGAGTTCCACAGTCAAATCATTACTGAGATGAAGTATAATTAATCCCTGTGGGCAAACAGAACTGGGAGCATGGTTGTGGAGGGGCGGGGGGCAGAAGGTTCCTTCAGGCTTCTAAGACCACGGGAAAAAGAGGAGTCCCAGATATTTCAGCCTTGGCTTCTTAGGTTCAATAATAATGGCTTCATTCTGTTGCCAATTCCATCTTTTGACCAACTTTGCCAAATACCTTTTTAAAATGCAGAGGCAGATGTGGGTACCCACTGCTGTCTGATGATGTAGGGCTACAGGGAGACCTATCCATTAACCAGGATGGAGATGCCTTGACCCCACCAAGCCTGAAGTCTAGGGGAGAGAACAGGCAAAAAGGAGAGGTCAATAGTGTGGTAAGCGCTGTGAAAGGAAGAGGGAGCAAAGTACGTAGAGAGGGCAGACTCCTCAAGAACAGTGGGAACAGTGAGGGTGGGCATGGGTCACAAAACTTGCCAGGGGAACTACGTTAAGACCTGAAGGATGAGGGGTTAGCCTGGCGGCAGTGAAAGTGAAGCAAGGCGTCTTTTCTTTGAGGAAATGAAAAAATGTCTTGATGGCTGGAGTTTGGAGTTCCCGGCTAGATACTGGAGAAACATGAAGCTCAAGAATGAGTTGGCTGAGAAGAGAAGAAAGAGTAGATCAAGCAGGGCCCTGGAAACCATGTCAGGCATTTAGCCTCTATCTCAAGATCAGCTGTGAGGAGAAGCCAAAGCATTTCTAATAGTGGGGTCACATGTGTACACAGTGGCTGCTCTGGCAGTCATGGGTATAAAGACTGGATGAAGGGCAGACAAGACCAGGCACAGGGGCACCATGTAGGAGGCTCCTAATTTTTGTGGGGTTTTTTGGTCGGGGGATTGAACCCAGAGGTGCTTTAACCACTGGGCCACATCCCTAGCCCTTAATATTTTTTTTTTATTTTGAGATAAGGCCTCGCTAAGTTTCTTACAGCCTCACGAAATTGTTAAGGCTGGCTTTGAACTTGTGATCCTTCTGAGGAGGCTCCTAACTTGATGTGGTGGACACAGAGACTATGCTAGCACCAGGGTGGTGGCCTAACTAGACACAGGCTCTGGGGTGGGGACCACTCTTCCAGTTTCCAGAGCATAGGCTGAGCTCTTCTCCCCAGCACATAGGCCTAGTTTTTTTTTTTAAAGATCTGTAGCTCTGTCCTTGGGACTAAGGTCCAGAGTTGCCATTAACTCTATTCTTTACCATTGTGTTCTACGTTATTAGTTGTTTCTGTTGTTTTGGTTTGAGGCCTTCTAAGGCA